AGAGAGTTGGACAGTGAATAGGGTTGATAGAGAGAATTGATGCCTTTGAGCTGTGGTGCTGAAGAGTGTTGAATATACCATGGACTGCTAGGAGAACAAACAGGTTTGTCCTAGAGAAGGTGAAGCTAGAATGCTCCGTGAAGTCAAGGATTCTGAAGCTTTGTCTGACATATTTTGGGCATGTTGCAAGCAGGGACTGGTCCTTGGAGAGGGACATCATGTTCAGCAGAGTGGAGGGGAGGCACAGGAAAGGAAAACCATTGATGAGATGGACCCATTCTGTGACTGGAGCGGTGGGAATAAGTGTGTTTGAGATGGCTAGGTTGGCACAGGATAGAACAGCGTTTAGGGCTCTTGTACATAGGGTTGCTATGAGTCACAAATGACTTGATGGCACATAACAACAACAACCAGTTTATTTACAAAATTTGAATATATTATTTTTAAGAACGTGTTCTTTGAATTTCCCTCACCCCTCCACACATCAAATTGTACAACCTCATGATTAATCCCCCTAACCTCCTGCACATCTCATCCTTCTGCTCCTACCCTCTCCCCTCTCTCTTGGATCGTTATACTCATTCTACAGCTATGCTTTTAAAGGAATATTTTATATCACTTCCTTAAGAAGACAACCAATATGATTTGGAGTAAATACTATTGTTAGGTGTGCCCTCAAGTTGGAACCAACCCATAGCTGACCCTCCAGCAAGTTTTCAAAGGCAATGTAGTTACACGGAAGGAAATTGTCCTGTTGAGCATCTGGCCGATTTAAACCATGTGCCTTTTGTGATTGCAGTACAGCTCCCTACCACTAGGCCACCAAGTCTCCATTATAGATTCGTAGTCCCCCTATATGAGAGAGTAGAGCTGTCTTATTGGATTTTCTAAACTGTAACCTTATGTGAGTAGGTTGCCAGGACTTTTCTTCCACTATAGACTGTTGTTGGTAGGTTCTGTCAATTCAGCTGTTACTCACAGCCACCCTGCAAACTACAGAGTGAAAACTCTGCCTCTTCTCGTGTTATACTCACAGCCTCTTCTGTGCTATACCCATTGCTGCAGTCACTGTGTCAATCCATCTTGTTAAGATTCTTCCTCTCCTTTTTTGATTTCTACTTTTCTAAGTCCCCCTCTGCCCCCTAACCCCAAGGACTGTCAATAGTATGCCCAAAACATGCTCTTAGTAACACCCTACCTGCACTTTTTCTAGGATAGATATGCTAGTTCTCTGGCAGCTGTGCTGTATTCAATATTCATCATCATACCACAATTCCAAGGCATCCATTCTTTGGTCTTCCTTATTCATTGTGCAATCTTAACACGCACATGAAACAATTGAAAATACCATGGCTTCTTGTTGTTATGTGTCATAGAGTCAAAACAGATGCATAGCTGACCCTTTAGTGGGTTTTCAGAGGCAGTAATCACACAGAAGGAGATTGCCTATCCTCCTTCCACAGAGCAACTGGTGGGTTCGAACTGTGTGCATTTGGGATTGTAGTGTAGCTTCTTACCACTGGGCTGCTGGAGTTCCCTATCACAGCTTCAGTCAGGTACAGTTCAGTCTTTGAACTGACATCCTTGTTCTTTAGCACTTTCAGGAGGGCCCTGGCAGCAGATTTGCCCAATGTAACTTAAAAAAAAAATCTCTATGCTGCTGCCTCCAAGGAGATTGACAGTGGATCCAAGTAAAAGGGAATCCTTGAAAACTCCTATCATTTCTACACTTACTGTCATGTTGCTTATCGATCCAGTTGTGAGGATTTTTGTTTTCTTGATGCTAAGGTGTAATCTATGCTGGAGATGTTAGTCTTTGATCCTCTTCAGCGAGTGCTTCGGGTCCTCTTCACTTTCTGTGGGCAAGGTTGTCATTTGCATGATGCAGGTTGATGAAGAGTTTTTATTCAGTCCTGATACCACATTTTTTTTAAAAAAATTAAAAACAATTATATTGGTTTGCATATAAAATTCATATACGCTGTGTTTCATTCATACAGTGTGTTTCACGCATTCCTTCATTCACATTGTATTTCATATGATCATTTCCATACACTGTTTTTTTATAAATGAATCACCAGTGATATATACCTTCTATTACCCTGTCTTCTCGGTCCCCAATTAATCTTACCTAATTCCTTTACCTGATCATAATACCCACCAAATTCTATGACCCCATGATTCGCCTCCTCCCCAAACTCAACCCCTGTGCCCACTTCCCTTCCCCCTTTGGACTTACATACACATCTTACTAGTTATCTTTCAACAAATGAATGGATTGAGAAAACATGGTACATTCATATGATGGAATACTATGCAGCACACAGGAGTAATAATGAAAAAATACTATATATATATATATATAATGTGGGAGAGGCTGGAGAGCATTATGAATGAACTAACTCAGTCTCATAAGCACATTCTTTTTCATAAAGTTTAGCTTCTTGGTTTATTTGCTCTGAATGCAGATTATGGTGAAAGGATGCCTGGAGTGGGTTCAAACAACCAATCCTTTGGTTAATAACGAAGCGAATATCCGGTGGGCAGGCCATAAGTGTAATGAAACAAAACAAGTTTTTCGACTCTAGGAAGTTACTGTTGCTGATAAAACTCTCTGAGTTATAAGGATATTCTTTCTTTGTGCTAAAGGGAGTTTTTCAAGTGTTAGTGGAGTGTTAAAAGCATGCTCGCACTATATTGACACTTTCTCCAAGAGGTAATGAGGATTTGAAGAGAAGAGAGAAAGATTTCCATTCTCATGTTGTGATTTAATATTTGTTAATGCTATGGCCAAGTAGCACTTCCAATGATCTTGAAGAAGATGTCTCACACCTCCTACAGGGTGTGTCTCCTGGGATTTGATTTTAAAACAGAAGAATTCTCATGTTTATCATGCATCGACTCATTTAGTTTGTTGCAACGTTGTTGTGGCTCAGTCCAGCACTCAAGTAAGATCCAAAGATAGCCACGCAGAAACAGAGAATTGGTTAAAGCAATAATTGGATGTAAAATCTGCAGCCTTCAGACATTTACCTTTAGTGAATGCTCTTGGGAGGAGGCTTTATCAGTGGCTTGGTCCTAGAGGTGGTCCCTCATCGCTGGGGTGGTGTGCAGGGATGTTGGCAGGCTTTTGGGCACAGGGTTAGTCTTCAAAGAGGGTCAGAGGTTTAATCAACTTTCATTCTGCCTTTGCTCTGCTCTCATTCCAAGGTTAAAAATCTTGAAGTTTTCCCATGGTTTGAGCCCTCTAATCTGATGTGATTGGAGTCAGAGGAGGAGAGTTTAACTCACACTGGACTGGAATAATTAGAGCCTTAAGTTCATGATTGGAGTAAACTTTGAGATATCTTGACATGTTGTTGTTGTTATGTGCTGTTGAGTCACCTGAGACCCATAGTGAACTTAGGTACAGCAACTCTGAACCCTGCCCTGTGCTGAGCCAGTCTCACTAATTCTAACACATCAACCCCCCTCGCCCCAGTCACTGTATTAATTCATCTCATCCAGGGTCTTCCTCTCCTGCTCTGTCCCCCCACCCTTTCTAGTACAATGCCATTCTCCAAGGACCAGTCTCTACTGGCCACAGGCCCAAAGTATGTAAGACGGAGCTTCAAATCCCAACCTCCAAAGAGACACTTTGTTTCACCCTCTCCAATACAGACCTATTTGTTTTCTTGGAAGTCCATGGTATGTTCAAGACTCTTCTCCAGCACCACAATTCTAAGGCATCTATTCTCCTGTCATCCTTAGTCATTGTCCAGCTCTCAGATGCATAGCAAGAACATGCAATTGCAAAGACCATGGTCTGGATTGGGCACACCTTAGTGTCTAGACTGACATCGCGTTGCTTTTCAGTCCTCGGCGGGGTCCCTGACGGCAGATATTCCCAATGCTATGCCACATTGTAGCACAGCTAAGCAGACATTTTCAAGATTATTAATTTTTTAATATTACAATGTAATATTTAAAAAGTATTTGACATAGAATAATTTGCTTGTTGTTTTTAAAGTGGAGCTTACTTTAAAAGATCAAGTCATGCATTACCTGAAACCACCTAGATGTTCCAGGGGAGAAAGTGCGGATGATTTGCTATAGTGAAAATTTTTCAGCCAAGAACACTCTCTCTGTAGGATAGTTCTCCTCTGCCATGTGATTTACTATGAGTCAGAATAGACTCAACAGCACACAGCAACACCACATTATGAGCCTGGGTAGAAATAGGAAAAGGCCTGGGTGGATCTCTGGAGCCAAGCTGGAGCTGCCTTCAGCTGCTCCATCTCCAAGTGGGAAGCAGAACTGTGTGATTCTTGACATTTCTGCCAGCTCTTCAGACCCTCCCTCTCCTGCCCTCTCCCTGGGCCGTCTCTCTCCACATTCTTCACATGGTTTGTAGCACTGATGGTGACATACAACAACTCTAGCCAGACCTGGCCACTTGTCGTTTGGCAGTTACCTAAGCTGCTGGCTGACCTTGTTAACTTTCCTTTTTGGGTATCTGGCTGGTATACACATTAAATGCAGACTCCTTCCTCTCAGACTCATTTTTGGTTTGCTTTTATGGTGTATGCTGCTTTATGCACACTCACTTACCCCACCCCATTTCCAAGGTAAATGTAATGCTTTCTTTTTTAAAAACAAAAAAATTGTTTTATACTGGTTTACTTACAAAGTTTGTATACATTGTTTTTCACACTGGATCTTTCCCATTTTCTTTATCCACCCCTTCTTGCACCCATCAAATTGTGTGACCCTATGATTACAGCACCCACCTCTCCTCACCCCTCTGTTCTCCCCTCCCCCCTTAGATCCTCATACATGTTTTACTAATTATCTCTTTCTGCAATAATGGTCTTATCTAGTATTTATCCTTAGGGACTGAGTTAGTTAATTTAGCATAATGCTGTCCAGTCTCTTCCAAGTTAGGTAGTGATTTTTAAAATCATTGCTCCTGGGTGCTGTGTAGCACTCCATCGTGTGAGTGTAATGCTTTTTCAAACATTATTTTTCTCCTTGAAAGGGATCCTAGGTGGTGCAAACAGTTTGCACTTGACTGGTAATGGAAGAGTTGACTGTTTTTGTCCTACTCAGTTGCACCACAAAGAAAGACCTGGTGATCTGCTGCTGTAGAGATTTGAGGCCAAGAAAGCCCTATGGAGCAGTTCCACTGTCTAGCACATATGCAGTTGTTCTGAGTCAGTCTTGATGGTACTGCAGTGACTTCTTCCCTGTCCTTGAGCCTTGACACTTAGTTATTTGTTAAAGTTTTCTCATTGGCTTTGGGAGGAGAGTGGAAGGAGAGCATCCAATTTTTGGCTCCCATTGGTAATAGTTATTGTTAGTATTAAAAGAAAGGAGTCCTGGTGGCACAATGGTTAAGCAGTTCTGCTGTAACAGAAAGGTCAGCAGTTTAAAAGCCCAGCTGCCCCATGGGGGGGCCAGAGGGGGAAGATGTGGCTTCTCATTGCCTAAAGATTACAAATCCAATGGGGCAGTTGTGCTCTGCTCTCTAGGGTCTACCAGCTGCTCTTTGGGAGAAGGATGGGCAGTCTCTTCCCTTGCAATTTGCTGCCTCTGAAAATCGACTGGAGTGTAAGCTATGAGTTGGCTGCAACTCCAGGAAACAAATAACAACCATGATATGTCAAAGGGTTTGGTGTGAAAAGAGGGATAGAAAGACCCTCAAATAGCATGGATGTGGGTTTAATGAATAAAAAGTCAGTCTCAACTTTCAAACTTATTTATTCTAAATAGAACAAAATGCCTCAGTTTCCTAGTTGTACAGTTCTGATGGCTTAGTGGTAAGTAATTGTCTTGCCAACACAAAGGTACTCGGTTCTAATCCATGATCTACTCCGTGGTAAAATATGGGCAGTCTCCTCCCTTGCAATTGATTGTCTCTGAAAACCTGTTGGACATCAGCTCTAGGTCAGTTCCAACTCAACGGTACATAACAACAACAACAACAACAACAACTGTTTTCCCAGGACTAGTTTGATATGCCACTAGAGGTGGAGCTGCTGCCGCTTTTTAAATACCGACTTGTTAATTTGGAGGAGGGGTGCCTCACTCTTTATGTATCACTAAACCTCTTGTATGTATTTTTCCAGCCCAGAGCAGCCAATGCATCTGTGGAGAGGCCTCGGAGTGTGAGCAAGAGGGGTTTAGCATTTGTGTGGTGGTGAATGGCCAGCAGCAGACAATGACGGAGTGCGAGGCTGGAGCCCTGAGATGTGGGGGACAGGATGTCTCCATCACACGTATCACCGCCTGCGAGGAGGGGACCCTGTAGGTGCTGGGTGCCCTGCAGCCTTCCTCAGAGCTAAGCTCACCCTTCCAGCACCAACATCCAAGCATTTCCCTACTGCCAGCCACGTGAAGAAACACAACGCTCTCCTCTCAAACCAGAGCACACATGTTCTCTTTTCAGTTTTTTCTTCTTTTTTGTCAAATGTCAAGATTTACTTTTGTACGGGCTCTCAGTGCTGTATTGGAAAAATAAAAATTGTTTGACTTCCCCTAAACCCTAAATTACAGCATCTGTGAAATGAAATGATTAGACTAGAGAAATTGGAATGTTCCACAGCCCTATGATTCTATTAAGTGGGATTGATCCAGCTCACAGGCCGGAATGCTCGCTACAAATGGATTAGGAATAAAGGGTGCAATTCTTTGATGTGTGAGGCTGAATAGAACCAAATACAAAAGGGGACCTTGGATGAGGAAAAAAAAAAAAAGACATACACAACATTCTCCAGCCCAAGTAGCACTGTCACAGTTCATCTTATTGAAGCCCTGCAGGAAGGGGCTGTCGCTATGGTCAGGGGACTGAGATGCTTAAATATCATGCTGTGTGGCACAAGAGACTTCTGCCTTCTTGTCTGAGAAAAAAAATACAGTTCAGTTATCAGCACAATGAGAACTTTTCTTTAGTACATATCAAACAAGACCTGTGAGTTGACCTGTTAGGGATTTCCCCACCTCCTTCTTTTTAGGGAAACAGTAGTTCACATCAGACCTACTGAGGGTGACTGCGTGCTGGGAAACTGTCTTTCCCTATAGCAATACACCATAGCCTTTTTAGAGAGTAACCAGGTGGCTTGGTTTGAAGAGTGCCTGCTGACTTGGTGTTCATTCTGTCTTCTTCTTTCAAAAAAACCCCAACAAAGCAGTGGTGAAAGGTGAAATGAGTGGATTTAAATGCAATTTGAAATATATATATTTACAAATAATAGTTCTATATTTTTCTTTTACTGATAAATACACTTTGGCAAAACTAGTTAAAATGATGCTGATTAAAACCTCCTTGAACATACTACTCTTTGGAATTTTAAAAAAGTTTTTTTTATATTTCATTTTAGAGATTCTTTGAATGAGGAGTTTAATGTCTGATCCATTTTCAGCTTTTAGTACCAAATTGTCCCCTGAGTGATGATTCAAATATGGTACTGTTAGGGTTGAAATTAGTGAAATGAGGTGAGGTACGGTGAAAGAATGTTTAGAGTGAGTGCCAACCAGATAAGACGAAAACTCATGCCAAAGGATGAGGTCAAAGGAGCTAGAACTCGATTATCCATGGAGCAAAGTCATGTGACCAGTGATGCCAGGAACAATGGACTGAAGTAAGAAACGCCCACCAAATGTTGATCTTCCTTTGACATTATCCTATTGGCCCAGACTCAAGCCCTAGAGCATGTCCACATGAGGAAGTGGGCCAACGGCATTAACCCATGAACCCAGTGGGTGACTTGCCACAGCTTTCCCTTCAGTGGACGATGACCCTTTCCACCCTCTGGAAAGTATTCTTTCTAATAAAACTGCCTTTACTTTCATTGCATTCCCTGCCTTTCATCTCAGCAAGCCAAGCATCCGACCGAGTCCGCGTGCTCTGACAAGGGGTCAGCTCACGCAGGGACTATTTTGAGCAGAACAAACACTGGCTCTTTAATGGGCCTGCATGCTTGCTGAACACGAAAACAGGCTCGTTAAAGGCCACTAAAATTGCTGTACACTATGCTACTGCTGTAGCTTGTCCAGAATCCCCTTTGGTTCCTCCCACCTGATCTAATTCTTTAGCTAAATGAGGAGGATTGAAGTCAGGGTGGCAACCATATGGTAACAATACACCTGTTGTCGTTATATGCTATTGAATCAGAACCAGCTCCCAACCAACACTCCAGTGTGTTTTCAGACTATAAATTGCATGGGCAGAGAATGCTTATCTTGCTTCCTTCAGATGGTTTGATCTGCCTGTCTTTGGGTTGGCAGTGCAACTCCTTACCAGTAAGCCACCAGAGTTGGCTTACCTATTCCTCACTTATCAACAATCTTACCCACTGTTTTATGATTACAGCATTAGTAAAAATTGGACTAGCTGACTGTTTTGTGAGGTAACAGCTGCAGAGTGCTCCTTCCCTCAAAGTGACTCTCTGAGCAGTCTCCAGGAACCTGGGCTATGTGCCCTGTACCCTCCACTGTGTCTTAGAGGGAGGGGCACTACACCCACTTGGCCTCCATGGCTGTGACCTGTAGGTAGTTGTTCTGGCAACAGCATCTGTTTGGGCTTCTTAGCTCCTTTGCCATTTGAGGTGCTTCAGCTCAGAATTGCTGTGGAGTGGGAAGGGAGGGAGAAAGCAGCATGGAATAAGGTGTTTGGAAGAAACTATTGGAAGTTTAATGAAATCCTAAAGTAAGCCAAACTGGACTTGAAGTCTTCACCTTGGCAGAACCAGATGTAAGACAGATGCTTAACCAGGGTTCCAGCATCCTGGCCCTAGAAAGAAGTGCTGAGCATGGGTGACTCAACAGACCTTGACGTCAGGGGTTGGGAATGAAAGATTTATAAGGATGGGAGTGGAGCCTTGGAGACAGTAACCATAAGAAAGGTCTGGGCCAGTCCTGAAGGCAGTAGACTGAATCCTGGGTTCTCTAGTCTCTGTCTTCCTTTCTATCTTCCAAGTTTTCCTCCTTGAAGGGGCATACTCCATAACTGAACTCATCACAGTGATAAGCAAATCAGTAAATTTTAAAAACTCAAACCTCTTTGCTGTGGAGTTGGAACTGACTCTTTCTTGACTCTTCTTTGGACTTCAAGACTGTCAATCACATGGGAGGACATTGCCATCTTTCTCTCATAGAGTTGAGGGTGGATTTGAACTACCAAAGAGGCATGGCCTTTGGATTAGCAACATGACTCCCTGGGGACTAGGCCTTTAGAGCTCCCTTCAGTAAATCTTTGCTCATATTATTTCTCCTTGGAAAAGCAGAAGGTCAGTGAGAGAGAGGAAGACTGTGATCTCAAAAATGATCTTGAGCATGGTAGAGAGTGGTGAAGGCACGGAGAGGACAAGGCTTCAATCTGTTGTTGCTGAGTCATGGTGGATTAGACAGCACCTAATGACAACGGCAGGAAGGGTATATGCCAGGGATGTATTCTGTCTCCATACCTTTTCAATCTATGCAGAACAGATCATGTGGGAGGCTGGGGTCTATGAGGAGGAATGTGGCATCAGGATTGGAGGAAGATGCATCAACGATCTGCATTATGCGGACGACACACCCTGCTTGCTGAGACTGAGGAGGACCTGAAGGGCTTACTGCAGAAGGTCAACGACTGCAGCCTCCTATATGGATTGAAGCTAAACATAAAGAAAAAAAAGATTCTCACCACTGGGAGAACTGGCAACATCATTATAGGTGGTGAAGAGATTGAGACTGTTAACAGCTTTAGTTTGCCTGGCTCCATAATCAACACTCTTGGTACCAGCAGCCAGGAAATCAGGAGACAGATTGCATTGGGAAAGTCTGCTGTCAGGGACCTCTCCATAGTACTGAAGAGCAATAACTTCAGTCTGGAGACTAAGGTGCACCTGATCCAGGCCATAGTCTTTGCAGTTGCTTGCTATGCACCAGAGAGCTGGACAATGACTAGGGATGATAGAAGGAGAGTTGATGCTTTTGAGTTGTGGTGCTGGAGAAGAGTATTGAATATATCATGGACTGCTTGCTAGGAGAACAAACAAGTTCATCCTGGAGAAGGTGAAACCAGGCTGCTCTTTGGAGACACAGATTCTGAAACTTTGTCTGACACTCTTTGGACATGTTATGGCAATGGCACACAGCAACAACAACAACAACAACAACAACAACAACAATGTTGTTAAGAATCCTAGCAGTCCATGGTATATTCAATACTCTTCTCCAGCACCAAAGCTCAAAAATATCAATTCTCTTTCTATCATCCTTAGTTATTGTCCAGCTTTCCGATACATACTGGGGATAAAATAGAAGTGGATGCTAAGGTGTATCCTCTACTTTTCTTTCCCTCTTTTGATTAGGTGTAGGAGTAGAGAGATAGAGATAGATAGCAAATATATTCTTTGTAGGAAATTGTCAGTAATGAGCAGTTATATATAGCCTTGTTTCCTATCAGTCTTCTGGGAACATTCTTCCTTGACAAATTTTGTTTTTAATGTGTTCGCTACTTATGCTAGAAAATTGAATGTTTCCCTTTTAGAACACTGAACCAGAAAGCAACCACAGTAGGAGGCAATTTCTGCTAATGTCTGAGGAACCAGAAAGAGGCATATGCATGCCTTTCAATGACTTTGGTCTTTCAGGCTCTTCCTACATTTGAGGACAAAAAAAGCTGATGGTGTGACAGGAGCCCCTGCTGTGGCCATCGAATCCCCTAAAATTTCTATTTTTATTTATTCCTGTCAGGCTCTGAAGGAAAGGCATCAGACTTTCACTCAAAGCATCCCTAATTTAGGAAAAGTTACATTTTCACCTGAGGATTAACCACACCAGTGGCTAAAATTATCATTACTCCAGTAGAAGTGTTCTTTTTGATTCACAGGCTGAGGCAATTTCCTATAAAAGGATAAATGTGAAGAACTGGTCTGCTATCAGTGTTATTCCCAGAAATCTGTATGAAAGGGGACTTGTGTTATGTTCTAGGGGTGGGGCCTTAGGCACATAACAGATCAGTGTGTTCAAGACAAGCCAGACTTTACTGGCAAGCTACTGCATGGGTTATGTCAACCTGTGCACTCATTACATCATCATCATCATCATCATCATCATCATCATCATCATCTGACCAAAATGACCAGGAACAACAATAACAACAAAAAAAATCGAAGGGATTTTCTGCAGTGGTGAAATGGAGTTTTGTCATCAAAGAAAAATTTTTCCACACATTTGCGAGAGAAAGTAATTAACACAAAAGGGCTCAGGACTAACACAGTACAAAACTATTCAACCAAATTGTCTTTCATGATGCTGTTAGCT